TTGCCTCATGTCTTGTTCAGGGTATTTATGTGCATCCAGCCCTAAACCTGCAGGCTTCTCTTCCCCCCCCCCAATAGGTACAGCGCCATTCGGAAGAAGCTGGATGAGCTGGACCAAATCACGCATCAGACACTGCTGGACCTTTATGACTACAACATGTCTCTGGCACGAAGTGACTGGTCCACACTGTCCACGCGAAAGCGTAGCTCAAGGAGCCTGCTCCATCATGTCCAGCGCCATCCCCTGCGAAGGCAGAAGCGGGATAACTTAGTCAACTTGCCAGAGAACAGTCCCTCAGTGGACAAGAATGACTGGAAAATTGGCTTTGTTCTGGTGAGATCCCTAGATATCCTGTGTCCTACCCACTGTGGTCTCTGCCTAGCTACTTCTGTCTTGTTAGACCCTTGGCCACACCCTTCCCTACTCATAAATCTGATTAAGCTGCACTGGCTTTTGCTAATGACAGATGAAGGTAAAGCTGAATCCTTTGCCCAGTGCAATCCTGCTCCTCAAGTCCTGTCCCTGTCCATGCAGGCCACAGGAGACTTGGCCACGTCAACGCCCTTTTCCTAGGTAGGGCAGGGAAACCTTGTCCTTCCTGAAGGCCACATCAGCCTCACGGTTGCCTTTGGAGAGCCATTTATTAACATCAACCGCCATGTTGCCCAAGAATAGCAAAGGGGAAAGTATTGGATGGCTGTGGGCCACACGAAATGTGGTCATGGTCATGTTTGCTCCTAGGTAGCAGCTTCTTCACCCGAGGGTATCTATTTGCATTTAAAAAGCCACTGAACTCTGAAGGACAGAAGCTAATCCCTTGCCAGTTAACTGAAGTTCCCACAGGATCACAAAAGTTTTTCTGGACACACCTTGAAGGAAGGGCTCCCCACGCAAGAATTTAAAGCTTCTGGTTTTATACCATGTAGAATTTTTGCACTGTAGATCACCCTGCATGCCTCACTGCCACTTGCTGCCTCCTGGATTTTACTCGGTCTTGCGCATTCATCTGGTGTTTCCCTTCCACCAAGGAGCTGCCCTGGGTTTGCTTTTTCCCATCCTGCTGATCGCCTTTTGGTAGAGTGCGGGAGCCCTGCAAAGCTCTTCCACTCCCTTGGCTGCATCTTTTGCTTGTGCTGAATGAGCACAACTAATCCAGAGACATAGCCTCACCTCCTGGACGAGACTTCCTGACGTGGCTGGTTTTCTCCTTCTCTTAACAGTGCAGTGAAAACAACAAGGACTGTTTCCATCAGGCATACTCCTCAGGGGTGGATGCCGTGCGGGAATGGTACAGCTTTCACTATATCAATATCCTGGCGCAGATGCCTGATGCAAAAGCCCTGGATGAGTCTGACTTTGAGAATTTCATCTATGCTTGCCGCTTCAATGAAGCAACATGTGACAAGGCGTAAGTGGTGGAAACCCCACCAAGTCTTCCTGAAAACACCCCTGTTTTGTGCCTAGGTCCAAGGGGAATCAAGAAACCCACATTAGAGAACCTCTTTTCCAAGGTGGGATCGTTCCTTGTTCAGTTCCCATTGTCTCAAATTATGTTTCTTGAGTCTTTCCTATGGGTTGTGCTCACTCAGGTCACAGTTTCTGTGACCTGAAACTATGGACTTCAGAGGATGGTTTTTCCTTTCCCTGGGTGTCACACAAATTAAATAGTTATACTGGTACAAAGCCCAGAGTGGGTACAGATGTACAGTGTAAAAGTCTCTTTATTCTACTCTCTACAGTGGTAAAGTGGTAAGTTTCAGCCCACACAGGAGGAGGAGAAGAGTTATTACAAAAGTGCAGTAAAAAAATACCGTATTTCTCTCCTACCATTATTGGTCAAAAAGCCACAAAGAGGTAGTGGAATTAAACCCATCAACAAGGGAGGAAAAGGGGTTAGGAAGAGCTAAGAGTTTTGTCAATATTAGGAAGATAATACAGTAATTGCTAGTACTGCTAAAACCCGTTTGGTACTTCTAGAGTTAGCAGTATGAAAAACCTGGTATAAAAACCTCTCCGGCTCCAGGACATTTTTTACAGCACATTTTATTTGCTTTTCCCTGTTGGGGCTAGTTTACATAACAAATACTGCCCATCTGCTGTAAGCCCCTCTTCCTGCAGGTGTTAAACAGAGTTGTTCCTTTGGGAAAGCCCTACCCCTTGGTCTTGCAGCGCTTCTCACCCCGTGTAAATGTTTCTGTTTGCTTCTCAGGAACTATACCCACTTCCACCATCCATTGTACGGGAACTGCTATACCTTTAATGACAACAGCAGCAGCCTATGGACATCCTCACTGCCTGGGATCAATAACGGTGGGTGAGAGGCACTCTGTGGTGAGTAAGGAGAACAGCTCAGCTCTGTTTTCCCCAGGAGTTACAGGCATCCTGCTGTGCTTATTCTGGTGGTGGCAGACTACAGCCCTGCTCTGTCTCACCCAAGCTCTGTTTTCACCAGTGTGGAGATGGCTGTCTCATGGGCATGGCTGTCCCTTGCTGCTGTGCCACTGAACTCTCTCTCCCCCATCAGTGCCTGATCCTTGTGTTTGTTCCTCTGTCTGGACCTGTGCCAGCCTTTCCTGAAGCCCCCTGTTGAGCTGTAGTGCTGTGCTCCTGAGAGCTTGGCCTTCACCTCCTCCTTCTCCATTTTCCTGTTTCCAGCAACTGACCTTGTTTGTGTTCCCAAACCCCCAGAAAGCTCTCTAGGCCCAATCTTCAGGCTTTCCTCCCATCCAACTCTGAGTCTTTCCATGAAATCTCTTTCAGTTCCCAGTTCTGTATTTTCTAAGCCACAGTGAAGAAATCCAGTTTTCTCTGGCTTCTCCTGGAGCCTCAACTTTGTGTCTGGCCTCCCTCCAGCCACTCTCCATTGCTGCCCAGCTTTGGTGCAGCCCTGTTTGGTGTTTCTCTTCCTTTATCTCTTACAAGCCACTCTGATCTCTTTCCTCTCCTGCACGACAGCCGGCCATGACCTCCCTTGCTCTCTGATGTTCCCTCAGGTCTCTCTCTGGTGGTGCGTACCGAACAGAATGATTTCATCCCTCTGTTGTCCACGGTGACAGGAGCCAGGGTCATGGTCCATGATCAGAATGAGCCAGCCTTCATGGATGATGGGGGTTTCAATGTGCGTCCGGGTATCGAAACCTCCATCAGCATGAGAAAGGTAAAGAAGCAGCAGGGGTAAGAGCTGTGGATGTGAGGTTATGGAGGAGGTTTAATTCGGTGGATGGACACAAGCGGGTTGTCATGTGCGTGTCTAAGAGAGGGGATTAATCACACGGAGTGAAGGGAGGGGAAGAAGAGCAGCTTACTGAACTAGGCGAGAAGCATTTGGCTGCAATTTATCAGTGAACAGTGAAATGGAGGAAAGCAGGGGGAGCTGGCATCCCAAGGAAAGCATAAAGAGCAGATGCAATGGACAAGCCGTGTGTGGCACAGAAGCATAGAAAGAGAACAGCAAAGTGCCAGTCATTCTGTGTAATGACTGTTTGATATTGTAGGAGATGACTGTGCGTCTTGGGGGCAGTTACAGTGATTGCACAGAGGATGGCAGTGACGTGCCAGTGCAAAATCTGTACTCATCCCGCTACACCGAACAGGTAAGTCGTTATCACCGGTCCTGTGCCAGCTTTTTCCCTACTTTCCTAAAATGCTTCAGTCCCCTAACAGCCATGCTTGTCCGTGGGCTCTGTTAATAGAATGATGTGATACAGGCTGCAGTGGATTTTGTTCCCGTGTTCAGCCTTTTCCACCTCATATGCCTCCTAGGTCTGCATTCGCTCCTGCTTTCAGCTCAACATGGTAGAGCGCTGTGGCTGTGCATATTACTTCTATCCCTTACCCACTGGAGCAGAGTACTGTGACTACACAAAGCACGTAGCCTGGGGTAAGTGGACGGGAGGAATAGTAAAGCTCGTGGCCACCTGAACCTGTTTGGTCCATCTCATGTCCCAGTACATCTCCTCATTGTCTTCAATGAGCTTCCTGGCGTGGGACATCCAAAAGACGCTCTTGTCTTGGATGGTTAGTCCCTCTGAGCTGGGCAGAGAGGCACATAATGAGGTTCAATAAGGGCAAGTGTAGGGTCCTGCTTCTAGGGAGGAATAACCCCATGCACCAGCACCAGTTAGGGGTTGACCTGGTGGAGAGCAGCTCTGTGGAAAAGACCTGGTAGTCTGGGTGGACAGCAAGTTGACCATGAGCCAGCAATGTGCCCTTGTGGCCAAGAAGGCCAACGGCATCCTGGGGTGCATTAAGAAGAGTGTGGTGAGCAGGTCAAGGGAGGTTCTCCTCCCCCTCTACTCTGCCCTTGTAAGGCCACATCTGGAGTCCTGTGTCCAGTTCTGGACACACCCCCCAGTTCAACAGGGACAAGGAACTACTGGAGAGAGTCCAGC